CTGGCCAGAGAGACACAACACAGAAGGAGTACACAATGGAGCAAACCACTTGCCTAGCAAGCCAGAAGGCTTAAAGAGAGACTAGACTCCCCAAAACATCCCCTCAGTTACCTGAACACCACACAACAGGCTTCACTGCCTTCCAACAGTGCCACCTTGGGGACCTAGGTTTTAATACATAGGTCTTTAGAGATCTTGACAATATTCAACACAGCATATTACTTAGTCAAACAATAAACAACAACAAAACAACCCACCAAAATCTATTTCCTTGTCAAGGGCTGGGAAATAATACAGACTAAGCTCAAGTCCAAATCCAAAGCTTCGAAGAGCCAAATCAGAAAAGCATAGTGGGTACGAATGTAAAAATAGAAAAGTAAGAATGGGAACCAGGACTTGGCTCCAGAGAGCACCAGTCTGGAGGCTTGATTGACATATGTGAAACATCAAAGCAGACGCCAGAGCCCCCTAAACAAATCAAACCAAGGCACACAACACCAGATAGCTTGAGAAAGAAGAAAGGTTTCCTTCTATTGTTGTAGGGAGATCAGGGCCAACAGGGTTACCTAGAGTGAAGAGCAGGGAGGAGCAGCCAAGAAAAGGTTTTCCTTTAAGCATAGATGATGATCCTGGGTATTTAAGGGAATGACCTCACCTTCCAAGACGTAAGCACCTGAAGGACCCTGTGAAGGGACTGAGCATAGAATGGGCGAAGCGTGTGCTTTATCAAGCTTCCCAAGTGTAGAATCTGCAGATTGCCAGGCCCTTTGTTTGATGCTTAAGATGGAGTCAAACTATTTGGAGCATGGCAATGGGAGTATGAGAGGCTGATATGAGATGCTACCAGACCGAAAGAAGGGAAACAATCACATCAGACCAACGTTCAGTAGCAGAAGACTCATAGGCAAGGTCAAGAGCTACAGTGGCCAATTATAAGAAGCTAAATCCTTGGAATATTATAATCTTCAGTGTAGTTCCAGGGGAAATCTAAGGTCAAGGTTGAGGAGTGTGTTCACAAGAGAGAAGAGTAGGTTCAGCATCTGTCAACAAGTAAGTGCTATTTGAAAGAGGAGCATCTTCAAGCATGGTGCCCTCTCTTGTATGGCCACAAAGACATGAGTCTTCAGAAGAACTAACAGCAATTCCGGCCTCTAAGTCACTATGCAGCAAACATATGTGGGACTGTGAAAACAGGTCAATGTCATAAATGATCTGGCTAGGCCTCAGCTGGGAAAGCTTCCATCCAGTCCTTCAGCCTCACCTCACTCTTCTCTGACTGCTGGGTAGCCAGAAAGGCTGATCTGTACACAGTTCTCTACTTAGGGCTGCTTGGAGATGTTGCAAGGCATCATCTAGGAGGTAACAAGTGAAAGGAAGATGCTTATTTCTTCAGCATTGACCCTGCTAAGTCACCATCTCAACGCAAGTCCACCTCTGACCTGCTACCTGATCCAGCAGGTTCTATCCGGCTTGCTTTATTCTCTCCCCTCTCTCTCCACTTCTTTCCCTCTCTCATTCTTTACCTACTGCACATGTGCATATCTAGACTCACATACTTCCACATGCACACACACACACACACACACACACACACACACACACACACACACAACCTACTAACCATCTCCTTGCCTTTTAAATCTAGCTATTGTCAAATACCTGCCATCAACCAAAGGTCCTGAGATATCCTTTACTGTTTTTCTTTTTCTCTGCCTTACCCGGATACAGGATCCCTGAATAAGCTCTGCTGGGTAACTAACTCTGCAAGTACCATTCACAGGATTCTGAATGCTCTACGCCCCCAACTCACCACTAACTGTTTCTGTGTTTCCCTATGTGCAGGGTGGGTTTTTAAAGAGGAGCTGCTCAGGCAATCTCCTAGCTTGTGATGAAAACTAAAGGGCAGGATGATCCCCGGTGAGAGTCAGTGCTGGAAGTGATTGAAAGCTTAGCACAAAGCTGGGACCCCCTGCTTCCATACCATGCTACAATGATAACGAGAAAAATCAGCCAGAGACAGGCAGCGGGCTGTGTCTCACTAGGAAGCATTCACACAAACTCTCTTGGCCAGGCAGGTCCAGGCCTGCCCAGGCACCTCTCTCAGTGGGTCAGCTATGGACAGAACATTGGTGCTCCAGGACTACATGATGTACAGAAACACTACATGATGTACAGAAGCAAAGCAACCTGATACATGACTTGCTGCTGCTCTTACTGCTAGGCATAGCTCCTCTCCCTGATGTTGGGGTGGGGGTGAGTTACCTGCTGCTAGCACCACCTATGTTCAGGCATCATTTCAGAGAAAAGGAACTGTTGGAGAAGCACTTTTCTCAAACCCACCCTCCTCTTCATATTCTCCAATCTGGCTCAGCTTGTCCCACTTTCCTGAGGCTTGGGGAGACTCTTTTGTGTCTCTTCGGGGACTTCCACAAGAAACTTCTATGATCAGAGAGGAAAAAGTGACTCAGCGGTATGCACGGCTCCACAAGCCACTGTTGAGTTTCCTTTTCTGTCTTAGTTACTGTTCCATTGCTCTGGAGAGACACCACGACCAAGGCAACTCTTACAGGAGAAAGCATTTAATTGGGGCTTGTTGCAGTTTCAGAGGTTTAGTCCATTGTCATGGCGGGGAGTATGGAGACATGCAGACAGGTGCTGGAGCAGAAGCTGAGAGCTACATCTTGATCCATGGGCAGAGAAGGGGATGGTGGGGGGAGGAAGAGAAAGAGAGAGACAGAAGGAGATACTGGGTCTGGAGTGGGCTTACGAACCCATAGACCTCCTGTCTTGCATTATATTTCAGACATATCAAGTGAAAGTGCCTTTGACGAGAGTTGAGAGATGTAGGAGCTTGCCAACTTGACAGAATCTTGTGAATGAAAATTCCTGAAAAGAAACTGTATCTGAAAAAGCTGATTGACTAAAACTTCAATGACTGTGGAGAGGTTGGAAGGTTACCGATCCAGAGCCTAATTCCAATTTATCTGGGGCTATCTTTGGCCCACTAAAAGGTCATTCTTTGCCCCACTCTTTGGAATTGTATGAACTTAACAAAACTCTAAATTTCCACCAACCAAATCATAAGATTTCCACCAAGCCGCGTGGTGGTGGCGCATGCCTTTAATCCCAGCACTCGGGAGGCAGAGCCAGGCGGATCTTTGTGAGTTCGAGGCCAGCCTGGTCTACAGAGCGAGATCCAGGAAAGGTGCAAAGCTACACAGAGAAACCCTGCCTCGAAAAACCAAAAAGAAATAAATAAATAAATAAAAAATAAAAAAAAAAAGATTTCCACCAATCAGAAAAATCTAAGATCTATAGATAAGATCCTCCCCACTGTGCTGGAACCCCACACCTACTGTTTACATGTCTTGATAATGGTTTTCTTTGTTCTGTTGCTGTGGTGATTTGAAAGAAAATGGTCTCCATAGGCTCATAAGGAGTAGCACCGTTAGGAGGTGTGGCCTTGTTGGAGGAAGTGTTTCACTAGGGAGCAGGCTTTGAGATCTCAAAACGAGGCCGAGTATGACATTCACTTCCTGGTGCCTGCTGATCTGGATGCAGAACTCTAAGCTCTTTCTCCAACACTATGTCTGCCTGCACACTGTCATGCTTCTCACCATGATGATAATGGACTAAACCCCTGATACGGTAAGCCAGTAAATTAAATGTTTTCCTTTATAAGAGTTGCCTTGGTCATGGTGCCTCTTCACTGCAATAGAAACCCCAACTATGACAGCTGCTACAAAACCATCATGGAATTGATTCCACATTGGAACACGGAATTTGGGGGCAATCTAAATCTGAGCTTCTAGGCCATGGTCACTCACACTTGGTTCTAAAATAAACTGTCTCGTATTCCCCGAGATGAGAGCAATAAATTTTGTGTTGACAACCTCCATGGGAAAACACCTGAGTGTGTCTATGGGGAGGAAAGTCCCACCATAAATGTGGGATACACCAAGTGATGGGCTGAGATCCCAGACTGAGTAAAAAAAAGGAAAAAGCAAGTAGAATACAGCATCCATATCTCTCAGCTTCCTGAGTGCACACATGGTATGGCCAGCCACCTCAAGTCTGTGCTAACAGGCCTTCCCTGCCATGATGGAGTATGCTCTCAAACTGTGAGCCAAACCAAATCCTTTCTTCCTCAAGCTGTATCTTGTCAAGGTAATAAGAAAGGTAACTAATTCAGAAAACAGGTACTGATGTGTAGGGCTGAAACTGGAATAAAATGACTGTGGTTCTCAGGCCTGTGGAGCTGATTTGCAAGAAGAGTGGGGGAAAGTTTGGAGCTTCAGGCTAGCAAAGCCCCTGAGCACTGTAAGAAGGGCTCAGTGGGCCACTTCACTGGGTCTTGAGAATTACCAGAAGGTTGAGACAAATGCGACAGTAGAGGCCTCACTGAAAAGGTCTCAGAGGAGAGCAAGGACTCTGTCGGGAACTTTGCTAGAGGTCACTCATGGCAAAGGACCTGCCTGCATTCTGCCTGTGTCCTGGGAAGTTGAGTGAAGCTGAAATAAAAAGTAGTGGACTAATTTGTTTGGTGGAGAAAAAAAAAAAATCTCAAAACAGGATCATGTTCAGGTTGCTGTGGCTACAGCTCACGGTTTTCATCCACTGTGAGAGAGAAACAGTGACGCGGAAATACATGGAAACAATGTCCAGCTTGAGAGGAAAGTAGTGTGAGCTGGTTTCTAAACAAAAAAAGGTAGACTTGAAAGCAGCTGTCATAGTTAAAAGACTAGCATCATTAAAGAGAAACCTAGTGCTCTGCATTGGGACAGTGTAGGGGAAGATTCAGAAGAGATTTTGGACTTTTGAACAGTCCTTAGACTACGAGGATGTCTAGAGATAGTCTGAGTACATTCTGCTTTATGTGGCTTTGGATTCGGGAGTTGAATGTTATGACCTAAAGTGGTGTATTTGGATGTCAAATTGCCCAGGTCAGAGTTATTAGGGTTGTCGATTTCATGGAATTTAGAATCCCTGTAGAAACATACCTCTGGGCATGTCTATGAAAGTGTTTCCAGGACGATTTAACTGAAGAGAGAGGATTCAATCCAAATGTGGATGGCAGAATCTCATGGGCTGGGGTCCTGAGCTAAATAAAAAGGAGAAAATGGGTGGAGCATTAGCATTCATCTCTCTGTTCCTGAGTCTACAAGTAGTATGAGCAGCCACCCCATGATCCTGCCACGATCTGCTTGCCCTGCAGTGATGGACTCAGTGTATGCCTTTGCATCATAAACCAAAATATATCCCTTTAAGTTGCTTCTTTTAACTATTTGATGATAGCAATGAAGAATCAATTAATACAGAGCTGGAGAAGTGACCTACCACTGGATAAGGCCATACCTGACCCCATAGTTCTCTCATCTCAGAAGGAAAATAATAAAAAGAGGAGCAAGCAGATGCCATAACAGGCTGCCCAGTCTTCTCTCAGAAATCAGGCCTCAATTTCAGTTTTCTGAGGATGAACAAGCAGTTTCTGAGAGAGCCACGAACAAAGAGCAGTTAATCACTAATGCCCCTGACAACAGGGACAAGGGAGATAAGAAGTACCAAGCCTGCGCCATTGAGCCAGCCCCCACAGTCAGCGCATAGATAAGCCAGCCTCTATAACAACTCAAGACAAAGCCTGGGACTTGTCCAAGCCTGCCAACAAATGAAAAAGCTGTAGCCTTAACCAGCTCCTTGCCAGCCCTAGCTAATTAGAATGTACTAATATGATTGTCACTTGCTTAAGCCAATCATATCTAAAGTGACCTAACTGCCCTAAAAACTCCCCTTGATTGTGCTTAAAAAAGAGCCTGTGAGCTCCTCTCTGGATTATGTTATTTTGCCTTTGTGTGGGACGGCTGGCCCCAGCATGCTGGAAGCTTTCTCAAGATAATAAACACTCTTGCTGATTGCATATGTGGATGGTGGTCTTTTGTGGGACTTCTCCAGGACCCTAAGAGAAAAGAACATAAAAGTAAAGATAAAACATAAGCATGTTGGGAAAAAAAATGGTGAATTTTACTACAGTTACTGCCATGTGTCATTTACTGATGGGGTAAGCACTAAAGTATAAAGTGTTATCTTGTATAATATTAGAGGGACCAACCTTAACATTATACATACCAGGGCTCAGGAGAGAGAACTACTAATGGCGAGGACTATTTTTGGGAAATAGAATCTCAGCACACCGAGCTCTATAGCCCACTTGCTTTAATTCCTCTGGCATAACATCCTTTATACACAGCTTCAGTTCTGTTCTCATGCCTAGCTCCTTTCTTGCCTGATTTCTCTCTATATTTATCTACTGTTCCTTCTAGGTTCTATCTTAATTCCTTCATCTACTTCTGTCCCTTCTAGGTTCTCCTCCATCTTGTTCTTTCCCATATCAGCTCCTTTCCCATCTCCTTCTCTCCTATCTCCTTCTTCCTCATCTTATTCTTCCCCATTTGGCTCTTCCTCATCTTCTATCTCATTCCTCTAGTCCTCTCTTTTAGCCCTTCAACCTAGTTCTTCCCCATCTCAGTTTGTTCCTCTCAAGTTCTTACCCATTTAGTTTTTCTATTCTCTCTTTTCTTCTCTGTCCCTTGCCCTGGAAGTCCCGGTATATAAAGGAAGGGTCCAAGCCAAATTGTGTAAAGCTATTACTTAACGTCCACCTGACCTAGGAAGTGTCTCCTTGTGGAATTTACGGTAAGTCAGGAGACTTGCACGTGGGCTGTTATCACTGTTAGTCCTTGGAAGTTGGGCGCCCACCTGGGCGGTATTTCCTGTAGTCCTTGAAAGTGGCTAAGGAAGATATCTGATTCTAGAGAAAGCCTTTCCTGAGGCTGTTCTCCAAATACCTGGAATGAGTATGTCCAGAGAGTGATCAGTCTACACTGTTAGCCCTTCTTAGGGAAAAGTCAATTGGAAAAACTTGGAAGGCACACATATTCATAACAAAATAAAGCTGATATAGAACAAGCCAAATAACACCAAAAGCTCCTTGGAATTTGGCTTCCTCTGAAGTAAATCCTTGATCCCTCCAGGTACTGACTTTACCGTAACCAGCTGAGTTCTTATGATATATTCCTGCAGCCTGCAGCAGTGTTAAGCAATTTTATGGTTGTGAAAACATCATAGAATTTACTTGCACAACTCTAAATGGTATCTTACTACACAGACAGCCATGGCACACACCTAGGCTATAAGGAATGTGCATACAAACTATCCTGGAGTTTCTAGGGCCACGATGAACAAAAGGTTAAGTCAAGCACAAGAGGAATGTTTCAATTAAGAGAGGAAGTAAACAGGAGACATGTCAGGCTGCTCCTGATGTAAATGGCATCATGTTTTATAGTCAATTTATCCTTACCAGAACTAGAAGGAGTGTATTGTGAAAGAATGATAAAAAACATACAGTATGATAAATACATAAACCAGTCACACAGGCATTTATCATGATCAAGTATTATGTATTGTAAATAATTGTATGAGCTGTACCTTTCTACTGATGGATTGCTGGAGGTGTGTCATACCATCATCAGTACAAGCTCTCGAGTAATTCACTATGATCAAGTCATGACGTTATGATGGTTATGACATAACTAGGCAAGAAAAAAACTTTCAGATCTGTTATATCCTCATAGGCCCACTATCACACATGCAGTCCTGCTGATTGTCCATTAAAGCACCATGCACATGCTCCCTCAGTGAGACTTAACAAAAGTCTTTCTATAGTTCCATTTTGACTTTAAATTAAAAAAAAAAGTTTTCAATTTTCAAGTTGACCCTAGTCAACTTTGAAGTGGGGGCATACATTTGGGAAATTATCATTAAATAAAATATTTTTAGTTGACATTCTTCTTTCTCAATTTATGCTTATCACAATCCATTGATTGCACATGTGTGCGATGTTAGCCATAGAGACTTGGTTTTTACAGGGTACATATATGTGTTGTACGAAGTGCATGCCAGACAGAGGGATGTGAGGATGAATCAGGTAGCTTATATAGCCTATGGGAAGTTAAGAGTGCTAGAAAACATGTAAACAACTTAGTTTAAAAAGTCGAGTGCCTGCAATGGTAGGAATACATATAAGGGGGGAGTGGGTATATTTCACACATGAAATATAAATATAAATAACTGCTAGCTGATGAGATTGTGATTTTCATGAATGCAGTTCTTGAGTTTTTGGGACTTCTCCCATTAAGATATGCCTGTGTCCTTTGGCCTTGAACCTGGGTTCCGTGGCTGCAGGATTGATAGACTATAGCAGAAGTGACGTCATGCCCTTTCCAAGCCCAAGCCCCCTTAAGCAGCTGGCAACTTCCACCTCTCAGCTATGAGGTCACCGGCTCTTGGAAACCGACACTACTCATGGAGCAAGCCCAGAGTACTCCACTTTGGTCAAACACGTAGTGAAGCTGAGCCCCACAAAGACAGAAGAACTGTTGGCAGCTCTCCCCCTGTCTCAGCCTCTCATCCCAGCTTCTGCCATGGTCTGGATGCCACCAAGTTCTGCCAATCTCTCTGGATTCTCATCTAAATAGACTCAGCAATTGCCTAGGATAGGATTAAGGTGTAGGTTCAACTGGGACAAAGAGATAGCTGACCTCACCCCTTCTTCATACAGTCCAAGCTCCTTTCCATGCACCCCTACCTTTGACGTCTTTATAACAGGGGCTGTCAGAGTACTGGATTCCTCACATGGCAGCTCATTTTCCCCAGAGTGGCTCGATGAGGAACCCCCCGAGGGCCTGGCTCAGTGAAAGGGCATCTCTCAAGACCGGACAGTAGCTTGGTTATTGCCTTGTAGACAACAGGGCATCGCTGAGGCTTTTCAATAGGAGAGGGGTTTGATTTGAGTTTTGGTTTAAAAAGTTAGGATTATGTGTGGACCAGATCAGAAAGGAAAGACTCCTTTGTTTCTTGGGGAGGAGACATTGAGGGTATCTGTGAAGGCTTAAGGAGATCTCAGATGCCAAGAATTTGCTTCAGGACCAAAAAGCCCTATGGTCCCAAAGCAGAAAGTCTCCATCCATACAAACAGTAGGCTGTTTGTTCTTCAAAGACAAACTCAAATAGGTTAGGAAGAAGATGAGACCCAGACTCTTACCATGAACAGACTGTGTAAACAGAAGAGCTGAGTACTGTTTTTAACTTATCCTCCACATTACAAAACTACTTCCTAATGTTCCAGGAGGGAAAGAAATAGGTAACCTCTGGGACCAAGGTGGGATGGGAACCGGACTCCGTAAATCCAACACTCAGCGTCCTGGCTCTGTTGTCCTGTGACATCATAGACATGGTAATGGGGATCATGGGGACCTAAACTAGAAAAGAAAATGAAGGGCTGTTTTGAGTCCTGTCTGCGCTTCCTCTTCACACTAACCTGGTTGGCTTTGTCTTTAAGAAAGGCTTAGGGCTGCAAGAACAGGCTCCAAAGGTGGAGAACACTGCTAGTGTTGTATATCAGTCAGCAATCCCTGGGCTGCCTCCTAACAAACATTCCCAGCCAATTCTCAAGATAGCCATCACCAAAACACCAAATGACCCAGCCTCTACTGTAGCAACCAGGGGCAGAAATGATGACTTTTTGACCTATATCTGAGCTACATCCTGTGGGGTCTTTTGAGGGTTTTTTTTTTTTGTTGTTGTTGTTGTTGGTTTTTGTTGGTTTTGTTTTCCACCAACTCCTTTTCAGTATTTTATTTTCAGAATGTGTTCCAGTTTGTTTTCTATTGCTGTGGGGAAAAAAATCGACCAAAAGAAACTTGAAGGGAAAGGGGTTTATTTGATTTACTTATTCTAAGTCACAGTCTACTAGGGGAAGTCAAGGCAGGAACTCAGGGCAGACTCTTCACAGATTGCTCAGCCTGCTTTCATATACAGTCCAGGAACACCTGGCCAGGAGTGACACCCCCAGTTGGCGGTGCCTCCCACATCAATCATTAATCAAGAAAATGCCCTACAGACTTGCCTACGGGCCAGTCTGAGGGAGGCCTTTTCTCAAATGAGGTTCCCTCTTCCCTGTGTGACCCTAATTTGTATCCAGTTACCAAAAACAAACCAGGACACGGTGTTTGCCAGCGAGGCTGAGGAGAACATCACAGCTGAGGATGGCTATCAAACCTGTGGCCATGTGTCTATGAACAGATCCTAAGAGGTACCCTGAGGC